TTCATTTAGAAGTGCCCTTTAAGCATACATCTGATAGCAGTTTCATAATCGGGTAGAAGCCCCCCCCAACCTTTCCATCGTATATGCGGCATGATGCCATGCTACGACTGGGCATTGGGTATCGAGTAGGGCTGTCACGATCGGTCGATGCATCGATAGCTTTTTTGACCATCGCGATGTATGCGCAACATTTTTGATGGGAAATGCCCCATTGGATTGAGACGAGTACTGTACGATACAGTCCGAGCGAGGAAAGGAAGAGGCGGCGTGACCCGCATGGGCGAGCAATTTCTTATCACGATCGATTTCTGGAAATGCTGGGACAGACTATATGATAATGTTGGAATCGGAGACAGGAAGTGGGAAAAGGAGAGGGAGAGAACGCAAAGAATATACTTTCTCTTCTGTTTCAGTCTTCGGCTTGATCTCATGAGGTACACGCTGTGAAAGTGGACTGCTCTTTTACTCCCTTCATTTCCAAACATACATCGGTTGATCTCTGTATCCCTGTCTTGCTGTTTAGTACGGAGGCTTACGATGTTTTAATTTTGAACTTGCCCTGGGGAACTTTACCTCTTTACTTAGGGTGAACCCAAAGCGAATCTAGGGCTGAAGGGATGTTTCGGCAACAGCCGGTATGGCACCATCGACAGGTTTCCAATCTGTCGGTCCCGATGTCCAAAGAACACCGTGTAGAACGAAGAAAAATAAAAATAAAAAAGTTTGTGAAAGGGCTTGGCAACAGATTCTCAATGGCAATAATAAAAGCTTAGGGCTGTCCTTACGCATCCATCGATGAATGGATGTCATTCAGGGGCCGTATTCACGAAACATTCTTACGAACTCTTTCTTCGTAAGAAGAGAAAAGTTCGTAAGTGGTATTCATGAAACCTCTCCTGCCACGAAATTCTTACGAAGTTCGTACGAAGTTCGTAAGTGGTATTCATGAAGCATTTTTGCGTAAGATGTTCGTACGATCTTCGTACGCAGTTCGTAAGAATGCTGCTCAATTTTGGTATTCACGAAAGCACAAAAGTTCGTATCTTTCTTCGTATGTCAGCGAATGGCCCCGAGGTATCGTAAGTGACCACAATGACGATGTCGAGGGATCTGTGGAACTCTCTTTCATTGGGTGTCTCAATTAAGCTAAGGTTCATTCACACTTGGCGGTTAACAGGATATATGCACACAGGATTCACAAGATTTTGTCTCGAAGGTTATGAGGTTATTCACATTCATCCAGTGTCAGAAAAGTAAGACGATAATGCGCCAGCAAAACTCTTTTTCCGCTCAATTATTGAAAAATCTTTCGACAGAGATCGGACAGTGGGAAAGATCTACCGCCAGTCCTGCCACTCTACCTGAGAAACTTAACTCCTTTCGCCTTTGCACGTCACTTCAGGTCCATGAATTAGATTTTACTTTTT